GCGGTCGACTACGTGGGAGTCCAGCGACACAGCCATTACGCTAACTGCTGGTTCCCCCTATGAATCACTCTTGAAACTAGATCATTGTCATCCCCAAACTCTCCCTCTCTGTGTGTGTATATATATATATTTACATACATATATTTCTAGATGCATCTGACAGTTTGCATAATAAAACTGTAGTGATGAGGGTTGCGAATTCGAATGCTGTCAAGGACATGTGTGGCGAGCACTGCATACGGAAGCCATCTTGAGCTATCCGCCATCTTGAGCTATCCACCATCTTAGAAACCATTAGGCTTCACTTCCTCACTGAGCAAATCGTTTCTCAGAAATCATGTGACCAACTGTTCTCCCCGGAAGCGGTTGGGTTTCTAGGCAACGGGAGAGATCCACCCACGTCAATGATTGGTTCATGCTGTTGTATCTCATTTGCATTCCGGGCAGCCAATTGGTGCCCACCAGCTGCATATAACTCGCCATTTCTCCTCAATAAATGGAAGTAGACGGAAGATGACGACTTGCTCAGCACCTCGTAGTGTGTGTGCGCGTGTCTGTCCCATCTCTCACTCCCTCCCCCAGGGAACCTGTTCAACGGTCCCGCGGGCCGGGGCAGACATGTAGGTAACCTATTAGGTGACAGAAGCAAGCAGGGTGGAGACTCTGGAAAACTGGGAAAGAACATTCCCTCCTCCAAAGGGAATGTTGGTCCAGGACCACCAGATTTTTCAGTTTCTAAGATTGGTCAAAACAAATATTTCTATGAAGCCTTCAGCTTTTTAAAAAAAATTTTAAGGTTTCTTTTCATAGGACACGTGCACTTGTCAGAGACGCAGTGAGAGGGAAAGTGACAAACCACCCTGAAGGCGTCCTGGCCACACTGCAGTCCTCTTTCCTCTTGGGATTTGGGGCATGCAGGCACACGTGCCCGGCACGATTGTCAAGTCGCCAGGTCCGGGACTCGAGCCGCAGTTGGCCCCGTGGAGGCCCGGTGCCTTAACCACCACATCGCTTGCTGGCTCTGAAATCATCAGTTCTTTAAATGTTGGCAATGAACTGAAATAGGAGGGGTCTTTAAAAGCATCGTGGAAATGCATATTATGAAAAAACTCCGTATGCATTTCAAAAGAGTTTGTGCCCAAATAAACTCGTACTTGAAGTCAATTTTCCACAAACTTTTTGGCATTCCCTTGTGTGTTTGGTCACAGCGTGTGCTGGCCATCTCGGTCAGATCTGCACAAGAGATTCACGCTGCAGCTGCCCATTTGCAAACTGGCCTGACAAACTAAGGAATTTTCATTCTCGGGAGCAGGAGGACGCCATGGAAAGCATTGTAGAGCCAACAGTCCTAGAATGCCGTTGTTCTGCCGGGCTATTCCGCATGATAAGTTTTGCCCGTGTATATACGTTGCTCTGTGGGCTCGTTCTCTTGGGAAACCTAAGGCCTCCCCAAACTGGCTACTCTCAGACCTCTTCCTTCCCGCTAGTTCCATCGGCTGCCTAAGGTCACTTTAAGTCCCTTCCCCAAACTGAAGGTTCTCAAGAGATGCACAGTCCCCCCAGAAGGACTACCTGAAGCTCAAAAGGAAAATGGCTAATTGGAAATGAATGGAATTTGGAGAGACCCAGGTGAACTCACAGAACAGCGGATCCTACTCCATGTCCCCTCCACATCAAGGGAAGGCAGAGAACAGAATTGGAGAGACCCAGGTGAACCGTCAGCCCCCACTTCTCCAGAAAGCCCTGGGAGGAGCCTTTCAGGAAGTCTCCCTTCCGGTCCAGTTCTGGGTCTGAGCTCTTCTGGATCTAGGATCCCGGCCCTGCCTGGGAACACACTGTTCTCCCTTGAGCGTCTCGAGCTGCCCCATCTTGCCCATGTCTGTGGTCTCAGGGGGGCAGGGCGGTGTGAGGAAGGGTGCTGGAGGAGAGGGGGAGAGGATGTGAGGGTCAGGGGAACCCTGCCCTGGGCTCTTGGGAAACGCGTGACTGTGCACGGCCCCTGGGGATGACTGAGGACGTGACTGCGTGACAGAATGCCTCCTACATTCAGCCTGAATGGCATTCCTTGGCGACTCCCATCTCCTAAGCCCAGGTCACACACAAAACACGCCTAGAATTCACATCTTTATTGAAACGCAAAATCACGCCCTCAACGATGGGTCGAGGACTTGGTCCTTGCATGTGAGACAGGTCACAGGCGACTGTACGCAATATGCGTAACCGGCAAGTCATAGGTCAACTGCTCGTGGTGCGGGGCTCTGGGACATGTGAACCTGGCCCCAAACCACCCGGAGAGAAATGTCAGAGAACATTCCTCAGACAGGGGGGGCTACGAAAACCCAGTAGATCATAAGGAAACAGGTCAGGCCATCGGGACCCACAGCCGGGAGAAGCAAGGCCATTGGAGGATAGACAAAGAGCGGCACGACCAGCGGCGGAGGCCAGAGCAGCAGCGGGACCTGGGGAACACAGATCCAGTGTGGCTGATTCAGGAAGACACCATAGAAGATGACGACAGGCTGGCTCTGGACCACGGGGGGCACGTTTCTGATCCTGCATGCCCTCTGGCCTCTCCTCCACCTGGCTCTCCTATTCCTAAACCAAACCTTCAATCAGAGAGAAAAGAGGGAGTGCGTTAGTACAGGGAGCACCCACCGTCACGGTGGAACATACACAGCAGGCCACTCTGTGTCCTCAGCGTTTTGAACTCAGCAGGACACTCTCCTTCTTGACCCCAAAATATCTCAGGAAAGGCCACGCCACCCCTCCCTTAGGGAGCTCCAGCTATGAGCCAAGGTTGGGCTTGGCTTATGGCTTGGGGGGCCCCAGCCTCTGGGGGTTCTCAGAGTCTGGGGGACCCTCAGGCTTTGGGGGGTACTAGCCTCAGGTGGGATCTCAGGTTCTCCTGTGGTCTCAGGCTCTGGTGAGGCCCGAGACTCTCCTGGGGAAACCGTCTCTCGTGTTTTCTTAGGCTCCGGTGGGGCCACGGGTGGGGTGTTCTGTGGGTGAAAGAGAGCACCATGGCGACTAGCCCCGCAATTAGGAAAGTGGCACAGGCCCGGGCCTCTCTTCCCTGGTGCCCAGTACACAGCATCCCATATGACTGCTGTCCCTCTACATAGGTGGTCCTCCACAAGGGGCCACAGGAGGACACAGGTCAGGACTGTCCCCAGAGGGTTACAGACCGCAGTCCTCACCGCATCTCAAGCCCCTCTGACAAGCTCTGACCCAGAGTCCAGCCAAGAAAAGCCCAGAGCTCCTGGGACCTACTGAGCCAAAAACAAAAAAAAATGCAAGTTCCTTTGAAGTCATACCAATGCCAATGGTCCTTATTTGGAAGAACTTACCTTCAATGCAATGTAATTCCTCAAAAGGGAATGTTGGATTTTAAAAGAAATGTCCCCCTCAAGGGTAATTCATGGGTCATTCGTCTGAAGACTCCGTTTTTGCTTTAATTTGCTCACCGGGACAGTAGGAGAGAACCGTCCCCCACTCAATGGGGCTTGGATCCTCATTTTTCCATTTCTCCATGGCCTCAGGATTTGAATATGCCTACACACACAGACCCAGCATAGTTTTCAAAGTGCAAAGGCCGGGAATCAAACCACAGGTGGCGAACTCTCCATGCCTGGCTTCACTACTGTGCAATTGGCCGGCCCTTCTTTTATATACACATACACACAAACACACACACACACACACACACACACACCAAGCTTTATCTGGAGAATGAATTTCAAATGTGCCTCATAAGTAGTATGTACAATAATTTTCAAACACATGGGGAGGCTATCATGATACAAATCAATTATAAAGTATTATTATGTTTGTATACATTAGTGTTTATGACTAACATGAACTTTCATACATAGGAATCATTGCAAAGGGCTCCTCAGTTATGAAAAGGCTGGGACCCATGAAACCATTGTGGTGAAATAAAGGTCTTGACTTTGAGGGTTTGAAATTCTATCTTACAAGTAATGGGCAACTACTGATGGCTTATTAGTGGTGTGATATATGACAGCAATGCTCTTGTAAGTTTTTTTTTGCAATGGCTCAACAGCTTTCAAGGCACATCTTCGGTAGGATAATGCCTAGGCATTTTGTGCAGTTTAACCACCCGGGTACCACCATTCTTGTCTCCACCCACTGGATTTGTGATAGTGGCAAGAACCTTCTCCTTCTTTTTCTTTTCGATCCTGGATTTGGTGGCTGAGTATTTCCTCTTGTAAACGGCGTTCCTGGAATACATGGCAGACCGGGAATATCTGCCGATGCCCCGGACTAGGATGGGGTTTCAGCTGCAATGGGGCTTCCCCTTCTTGGGCTTTTTAGCCTTGGGGTCACCCTTTTTAACCTTGCCACTGGCATCAGCCTTCTGGGCTTCAGGTTGCTTCTCCCCAGTATCCTGCTTCGTAGCTTTTTCACCTGCCATCGGGTATAGTGGGAAAGAGGAGGGCCGGCCCTTGTGAAACGTCCTGAGAGTTAAAACAACGGTGCTGCATGTGGGTGGGCTAGTCATGGAGGCCCCAGGGAGCTTCGGGCTGGACTTGCTGGGAAACAACAGTCACTGAACCACAAAATACTGTCTTGATTCTTTGGCTTAGAATTTAAGAAAAGGTGCGAACAGAGTCACAAAAAATTCTCAAACATCTTTCCCCACGTAAGGGTCTGTGGGTAAACGGGCATTGCCAAGTCCGGATGCCCAACCTGCTTCACCAGGAAAGCTTCCTGGGCTCAGGGCAAGGTCAGCTTCCTCTGTTCTCCCTACTGTCCTGGGTTTTGAGACAGGAGACTCGGTTGCCCAGCTTGGTGGGACATTTTCTGCCAGCTAGCCCCCACTCTTCAAGCAGGAGATGCCACCAGCATTCCTGAAGCAGGACCGTCCAAAGAGGTGTCTCCGAAGAGGTGCTATACTGCTGAGGGGACCATCACAGAAGAGTACTCCCTACATCCCTGCCAACTATGACGAAGCCAAAGATAAAGCCTGTCCGACTTCACTCTGCCTCAGCACCCCAGCTAACGAGGTTTCTGTTCTCTGTAATCCTTTGGAAGTTCTCAAACTGCAAAGCTGTTGGCACAAGGAGCCTCTTCTCCCTGTCTCACACTTCATTTTACCTCTCCCACCTTACTGTGTAGAGTCCTCCTCCCTCGTGGATGTTGGAGGGGAATTCAAAACATTCATAAACAAACGGGATGAAAGCATGAGTTGACTTTGGTGACTAATGTGAGACAGGCATCTTCCGTGAACTTTTTGAAGCCTGAGACTCCCATTGCAGCAGTGCTCAGCTTTGGGGAGACTGCAAAGGAGCAGAGGTGAAAGGTTCAGACACACAACCAGTGCCTCATGCGTGCTGACCGGTGAAGGCTGACATTTGGGCCCTATTCCCAATATTGCTGGGTCATCTGAAAACATGACACGCTTTTGCACAGGAAAACAGAAAAACACGAGTTTGGTCACGCAATCTGATGGTTTCAATAAACAGCTATTAGTATATTTACAAATTAGGAAGGGAAACATCTACTAAGTAGTCATGTTGGGAAAAGCAACGTTGTACATTGAAAAGGAATATGTGGTTAAATGTAAATTAAAATTCAAAAGAGGGGACAAAAAGTTTTGTGAGGCCTAATAGGTGGCATGGTGGTTAGGAAGGCTGGTTAGCACACGGCCGTCTGTGCTGGTCACGTCCCAGCCAGGCAGCTGGAGAATCATGCCAGGCACATGTGTGTGTGCCTAAGCTATCAAGAGAAGAACGGAGGAAAAGGGGATGCGCCACGGCTTTCCCCCTCTCTCCTAAGGAAACTTTCAACACACACACACACACACACACACACACACACACACACGGAAACACGCACAGACACAGAAACAGACATCACGTCCGGCGAGGGCACTTGCTGTATACGAAACTGAAAACAAAAAGAAGTTTTTGAGAGATACTCATGCTGAAGCACTCAGCAAAGGATGAGAGCAGTCTATCATTTTGCTTATTTGCTGCATGGGGGGTGATTTTTCCTGCAGAACGCCATTGAGAGAGGCGAGGGAAACCCAGCCAAGGGACAGGCAATTTCTGCAAAAGCAGATTGCCTTTTCCCTGAGTTTTTCGGCTTCCTTTGAAAGTGGACATCTCACACACTCTGCAGAAAAGCAAGTTGGAAAAGTCCTGATGCAGTTTTGCATAGAAAAATATGTCATGACCTTTTCGATACACCAATATGACATATAACTTATACAATCCTGTATAAAATAGATAAATAATTCATGATTTGGAACACTTAGTTGGCTGTATTTAAAATGCATGAAAATACACATACTTGTAAATAAGGAGTAAGTTAGCTGTGCACCATTTCCTCCTTTAGGAAAATATGCTTCCTCTGCTAATGGGAAATGTCTGCAAAGTGGGGTTTCCTTATCCAATGGCCCACCCTGCAAGACCTCAAAGTTCAACACTCCTTTCCCAAACACAGACAAGAAAACTAAATGCACCAACATGACAAGGTCCAGGATGAGGGAGTCCGAGTCCCGGAGCAGGGTTTAGAACGGCTGCGCGCCTAATGACTTTGGGGTTACTGACCTGCACTCTGGCGTCAGTCACATGCATGCGTCTTGCAAGCTCCCTCCTGAGGACAGAAAACACAGATGTCCAGTACTTGGTGTTGCAGGTGAAATGAAAATAGAACGTCCATTCATTTGTGCCTTATGGTCTACTCCCACCACGCACCCTCCACTCGGCTCTCTGTTCCGTCATATGCAGCTGATGCGTGATTTACAGACCATATTCCCTCAGGTGCACAACTGAAGGGGAAGCGGAACAATCAGAAATATCCCAAAGTAGTATTTAAGAAGTACAGAAGTGAAAACAAAAGGCAATTGCCATGCGCAGATTTACTAAAATTTTAAATAATGGTAGGACCTATCCCTGCACTCATTCCAGCATGCCTGGGTATCTCAACTTTTTCCCTGCCTTAATTTTTTCTAAAGAGACATTTTTGCTCTAGAGTGCCTGCACTCGCCAGAGAGACAGAGGGACAGAAAGCGAGAAATGACCCCCGAGGGGTGAGAGTTGATTTCTCCTTTCTGGATCTCGGGCACCCACCCGAGCTCGCCCCGTGGTGCCCCGTGTAGAGTTTTAGCGGCCGGGTCCAGGACTTGAACTGCAGTCAACTACGTGGGACTCCAGTGATGTAACCAGTATACCATTTGCTGTTTCTCCTCCCTTAATGTTAACATGACATTATTTATAATAACAGGTGCCGGTCAAACTTTCTCAGTTCGAGTCATTTCAATGTGGCACGAAAAGATTTATCGTGATGTAAAGTCTCCAGAGCGCCCATCTAAGAACCCTAGGGCAGAGGGGGCGAGAAGAGGGCTGGGGTTTGGGGGGACTCCAGGCTCTAAGCGGTATCAGCAGTGGAGGGGAGGACAGGAATTTGGGCTGGTACATGTTCCTTGCAAAATGGGGGCCAACCAGCGTGAGCCACTTACCTCGCTGTAATATTGGGGTACTGAACGGGTTGAAAAATGTATTCCCGCTCCTGCAGCTGCAGCAGGTTGTACCAGGTGCGTCGCAGGTACTGTCGCCTGCCCCTCAGCTGTAGAGCCTGGGCCTCCGCCTCCAGGTCCGTCTCTGCTGGCCCTGATGCCTCCAGCCCTGGCTCCTCCTGCTCGGGCTCCTGGGGCTGGGGCTCCTCCTGCTCGGGCTCCTCCTGCTCACGCTCCTCCCGCTTGGGCTCCTCCTGCTCGGGCTCCTCCTGCTCACGCTCCTCCTGCTCTGGCTCCTGGGGTTCCGGCTCCTCCTGCTCGCCTTCCTCCTGCTCAGGCTCCTCCTGCTCAGGCTCTTCCTGCTCCGGGATCTGGGACTTGGGCTCCTGGGGCTCGGCCTTTTCCTGCTTCAGCTCCTCCCTCCCAGGTTCCTGGTTACTGTCACCGCTTCCATCGTGATTTTTGTCGTCGAGGGGGCCAGGAACTTCTGCAGAAACTCCGCCACGATTTTCTCCTGTCTCTTCGGCCCCTACTGCTGCTGCTTCGACGGCAGGCTCGAACTCATCTCCTCCCTCTGTGTCCAGCTGGGGCTCCACAGCCTGCGCATCTGGAAAGGAGGAAACCCAAAGAGAAAGACCAGCGTGAGGGAGCCCACGGTGAGTGGGGAGGGGTGGGGGCGACCCGAGAGGTGGTGGCCTGGGGACGGCACCCCGTCCAGTCGCCTCTCCCAGGGAACACCCGTTTCCTGGACGTCGGTCGCTAAGGCGCATGTCCTCCCGTCCGGGCACTAACCGTGCATTTCCTCCTGGTCCTCGTTGACCACCAGGCTGAGGGAGCCGGCGACATGGTGGCTGGACTGGTTTGCGGCTTTCATACCCGGAGCGTGGTCCAGGACGCTGTGGCTTCTGCAGACTCTGGGCTTGGAGCTCCCGTGGCCTAGAAGGTTCGTCTTCTGGCGTCTCGTCGGAGTCTCAGAGGTCCCTGTTACAAGCGCCCCCTCTTGGCTTTATTCGGCCTGTCGCTCGCTAGTATCTGACCAGCTGCGCATGCGGCAGCCGTGGGGCGGGAGTTGCAGGAGCACCGAGCGTGGCGCACAGTAGGAGGGCACGTCCGAAATGCACAGCATGGGCTCCCGGGTGTGCCTGGCTGATTATTCCCGACTTGGCAGAGATCTCCCAGCGCAAGACGCTACGCCGCATTGGGCACACCGAATAGGGCTCCCGAGTGCGATCAGGCCGACCCCTCTCCACCTAGATCCGGAGACAACTCCAACTAGCTCCGGAGACTTTGGAGAAACGTTTGGAGGGCATCTCTAGGCCGAGCCCTCCATGGCCACTAGTCAGTACGTGGCCCGGGAAGGGAAAAATCTATGATTAGCCAGGAGGCTGCCTGTTCTGGGATTTTGCACAGGCTGAAATCAGAGCCCACCGTGTCCTTGAGCTTGCGGCTGGGCTGCCGAGTGGGTCCACTGCCCCGATGCACTCTGCGACATTACAGCACGCCCCTAGAGACACTCAGGGCTTCAGACTTGTAGCTATAGATCCACGTTGCGGGGAAATGGACAAAAACCCACAGAGCTTAGAGCAACTGAGCTCCCCTCACGTGCAGGGCGCCGTGTCTTTGCCTCGGTGGGCAGTGAGGACAAAGCAACTTGTTTTGCCTGCGTGCTGGCTAAGGATTCACACTGCTGCCTACCCTCTATGGTGCCATGGAGCTGGGGTGGGTTCCCCCATTCTCGCTGCGCCCCTCCCATTCCCTCGACCCCTCCCATTGTCAAAGAATTTCTTTCTGAGCTCTTACTTAGGAAGAAATACTTTTTATTTACTGTCAGGTAAACACAGCCTGGCAGAGTCAGGGCTGTAGAGTTACTTTCTCAAGAAGAGTTTGGAGATGCTCCAGGACTACCCAATGTCCGGAATTATCAGGCAGCTGAAATACGTAGGACGTAACCCTGACAATACTTCCTGCACAAGCACCCTTTGCATCAACTGCATTTCGCAGCAGACATTCAGCCATTCTTGGGGCTCCCATGTGAATGTGGGTCTCCCTACGCCATGGCCGTACTACTCCCTACGCCATACTCAGATCAATTTAAACGCGGCCTTGCTAGGGCCCAGCCCTCCTGTGTCAACCTCCTGAGTAACCGAGACTACAGGTAGGCCCTCGTCTTTTAGGGCGAGCCAGGAATCAAGCCCAGGCCTCCCGGGTGACCTCAGGCTGCCTGGTAGCCCACGAACCAGAGCACCTCCCAGCACCTGGGAACATACCATTTTTTTCTTTACCACACTGCTCTTTATTTTACACCCAAAAGTGGATTTTGTTAGGGCTACGGAATCTTCCAGCATCAAAACGCATTGTTTGTCCTCTCAATTGTATTTCATCTCACCCACACGTGGCATGAACCTAAGGCAGCTTTACAATTCCTCCCTGGCCACATACCATAGTTTTCAGTCTCCAGAGATTTCAGAGCACGAATGACCCCTTAGACATACTTCAAGGACAATTTCTGTCTGAAAGTCCACGGGCCTCTAGTTACTCTTCATTTCCGGTGAAAGGAGGGCTTTTCTAGCAGAAGCCGCTCCTCTCAGCCTGTCTTTCAATGGGGCTCAGCTTTTGCCCTATTCAGCTTCCCCCATGGCCACGGTCATTCTTCCAACATCTTCCTGTTGGGGCGGTACTGCGGGAGCCACCCGGCGATAATCAGCTGTCAGGATTCTGAGTGACAGCTACGTTTCTTTACCCTGTCACCAGACAGGAGCCTTTTTAGCCAGGGTCCAGGGCAATTCATCAGCTAGGCCTGTACCTAAGGGGAGGAAGATACCGGAAAGAATATTAAAAATGGGAGCATAAGGACAGGGAAATAAACTTTGTCCAGAATTTGGCACGTAGTTGACATATACAAAGCCTGAGTTGATGAGAAGGGGCGTGGTATTATTATAATTGGCTGAAACTGTCTCAGCAACAAAAGTGAACTCCCCCCACTGCAGTTTAAAGTCTGAATGACGTGCAAGTTGCGTGTCGTGTTTTTTCTTATTATGACATCAACTGCCTGATGTCCTATGGGAATGCATTTTCCACTCTGACTGAAAGTTTGCTTGAAGAATAGGATTCGAGTATCTACAGTCACCCTCCCTGCCGTTAGCCCTTCCAACCTTTCCGTTTCTGCCACAGAGTGCAGATGTTGGGTATAAATTAAGTGGGGACTAACAATGCCTGTCTTTCACAGTCTGGCTTGCTTCGCTTTAGCAGTAAATCTTCCGTATTTACCCACTTTCTATCAGGTGACCGGTCTCACTGCTTTTTATGGTCCAGTTGTATTCCAAAGAGTGCACGTGCCTCAGTTTCTCAATCCATTCATCGGATCTTGGGCATTTGGGTTGACTCCAAGTCCTAGCAACCGTGAAACATGCTGCAGTCAACGTGGATGTGCAAGCGTTTTTCTGTCGGACTGTTTTCCTTTGGTTTGGGGAGATACCCAGAGTGGAATTGCTCAAACCTATGGTAATGCTATTTGTAGTTTTTTGAAGGACTTTCTTATCATTCCTCACGGAGGCTGTACTAACTTACGTTCCCACCGACAGTGCAGGAGAGTCCCCTTTTCACCACGGCCACTGCAGTGATTACAATTCTTTCTTTTTAAAACCTTAGTCATTCTGACTGTGGTTAACTGTTGTCTCCATGTCTGTGGATGATAATGTATGTGGAAATAATTTTACTTCACTAATATGCAGTCTATTCATGCTCAGAAAAACTTTTTTCTTGCAGAATAGAGGTATATTGATGAAATGTAATATAAGGTATATTGAGTAAATGTAATATGATATAAAGATACAAACTAGGAGAGATAGGTGGGGCTGGCAGTGGGCATGATGGTTGGGTGTGCTGGACTCCCACATGCCAGAGCTCAGTTCAAGTCCTGGATGTGGTGCTTGGTGGCTTCCTTTCTCACTTTCTCTCTCTCTCTCTCTCTCTCTCCTCTCTCTCTTTCTCTCTCTCTCTCTCTCTCTCTCTCTCTCTCTCTCTCTCTCTCGTCAAATTAAAATAAACAAATGAATAAATTTAAATTAAAAAGAATTCTTTTGAAAAAGAGAGAGAGATAGGCAAGAATAAAAAGTGTGATAGAGTAATATGTTTGCTAGAAAGCAAGAGAAATCAAGTCTCTATTCTGCCTGTGTGTGGGTATGGGGAGAGGGGGCCTAAACAGCACAGCCCTCTTGGAGACCGTGAACCAGCATTTTGGAAATTTTATGAATGTGCATATCCCAAGAGCAATGAGAACTCCACGTCAGGACAATTATTGCATATGCACGACAGGGGACACGTACGAGAGCTTTAACTTTAGCATGCTTGGTAATACCGAAAAGCTGAAGACAAAATAAGTGCCTATCAGGTGGAAAATGCACAGATAATATATTTATCTGCATTAGTGTAGACATACGCCAAAAACACAATAGAGAATGAACAGGCAAAGTGGACATCAGCGCGTATACTGTCACATCCTCTTGAAGTGATGATAGACACCCATAGCATGCACGCTGGGAAATGCAATATCTCTATCTCTAAGTATACAAAACAAGAGTGTGCTTTTTGTGTTTACGATATTTGTATTCATGCTAGAGGGCACGTGTGTAGGGAGAGGGAGGGAGCGCGAGAAGCGTGCTTGGACCCTTCACAGGGACTTCGCATGCCGTGACCGCCTTTCTGCAGCCCTGCAGCTCCTCAGGACCCAGAGCACACACAGCACATGTGCCCACATGGTTTCTGGCCTAACTGGGGTGAGGAATACAATGGGCCTTGTGGCCTCTGGCACTGCCGTTCCATTTGCAACCCAGTGTGCCAACAGCCTGGGCCTGTTTCTTTCTCTCTTTCATGATGATTGACTCTTAGTACAGAAGTTTGTAGTCCATCGGACTGATTTGAGCTGTATCGCTGACATTTTATGTGTTTAATAGACTGTAATGAAACAGCATGCAAACCTTGACTGTTAATTATACACGATAGAGACCAGCAGATGGCGTAATGGTTATGTCGCTGGACTGCCATGTAGTCCACCACAGTTTGAGTCCTGGAACTAGCAGTGTGGGATTCACACCACTTATGTGTGCACGAGGGCCCAAAATCCTGAGAAGAGAATGAGTGAGAACGGATTGTGGCATGGCCATCCCCTCTGGGGGTGATTTTGTGCTTTCTGTCTCTATCTGGCAAGCGCACACCTCCTATAGCAAAATTCTCTTTTCAAAAATTATACATGGTAGAATCATGTTTCTTTTTTTATTTTTGATAGTTACCTCTGTTTTAAATTTTTTAAATAAAATCATTAAAAAAATAGAGTAAGAGGATTCACTCTTTATCTCCCTGCTCAATATGTACTGAACGTCTGCTCTCTATTGCAGAAAGTGATGTATCTGAAAATATGATAGTAGAGATGATAAATAGAGATACCAGAGACTGCAA